AAATATAAATATATTAGTTGATAAATAATTTTATTTTTCTAATTAATATAAAAAATAATTTTATTATTGTTATAAAAATAAATATAAATTATTTTTTTTATACATACAATATGGATGTAAATCGAAGCTCATCAAAAGAATATTAATTTGATATATTACATATGTAAAACTGATAAAAAATATAAAAGTTATTAACTTTTAAAATATATATACAATTCAATAGTTATAATAAGGAATAATATTAAAATACAATTAATACATTAACATGGCCATAAATAATCAACATATTTATGGTAATCCGAACCTAATTATTTTTTGTTTGGAATTAAATTAAAATTATCCAAGCCTAATAACGAAGCATGTAATTTTGCATCATAGGATTCCGAAGTACCAGAAGCAGCCACGTAGGCTCAACGCATTCTGTATTAATATATAGGGGGATATAAGAACCTCGACTCGTTTATTGTGATCGTTAGTTTGTTTGGTTAATAAGACAGACTCGACTAGTATTTTTTTTTTAATTTTAATTTTTTATAGTTTTATTCTGAATGATTCTGTTTAATAAGTTAGAGTTGTCAGTTCAAGCTCGATTACTAGTTCGTTTTAGTTATCAACTCAAAATCTGCTCGACTTAAGCTCGAACTTGAATACCATAAGCTTGATCATGACCCAATGATAAGTTAATAACACAATTAAACTAATTTATGTTGTTTTAACGGGTCAATTTGATTTGTATGAGATTTGAGTGAACCGTTTTTTTTTTTTTTTTGGCAAAACAATCAATCAGCATCAGGCAAGAAACTCGCTAAGACCAAGACCCGGCCAGAAGGGAAGAACAAATCAATATCAATATAAATAAAAAAAACCACGTGGGCCATCTTATGAAACGTGGGCCCACCACATGTCGATACCTGAATATATTCCAACTTCCAAGTGGCTTAGGCGGCGGAGTCAATGCCGGCTGCGGCTGGTCAACTCAACGTTGATTTGTGGCACTGCTGATATTTAATTATTTTAATATCTTTCGAATTAAACATAATTGAATTAATTTACGTTTTTACCTAAATGAGTCGAGCTCGTCTACCATTTATATTAGTTTAACAAAATTATATGTTTTAAAAAAAATTGAGTCGAGCATGTTTTCGAACGAACAAATTATATTCGCGAACAACTCGTTTACGGTTTTTTATTAATGAGTTGATATGAACTTTCACGAGTTTAGCTGAAGCAGAGTCTTTAGTTGTTTATTAAACGCCCACAAGCTCGAACACAAAATGCTAGACTCAACTTGAATATCATACCAACGTCGAATAGCAAATTAATGTTTGGATTTTGAGAGTTAGATAGCCTTTTATTATAAGTTAACTATGTGGTCTGAATACGAGCAAAAAAGAATTTTGCATTTAATATAAAGTGAATTGATGATGAATTGTCACATTTAATAAGATTTTAGATATTAGAAAATGACCTTAACATGGTATTTGTCATTTAATGAATATAATGTCTCAAATCCACATTTTAATGGACCACAAATAAGTGACAAAATTGTGGTTATGACCTACTATTTTTTTACCTAACCAATGCATACTTCTTACAAAAACTGAAATTATGCCCCCATTATGTAATGTTGGTTGGAAGTACAACTCTTTCAAGCATAGCCTAATTTGAAGAAATATATGCATTCATTATCATTAAAAAAAAAAAAATATAGTCTACTTATATATACTTATAGAGCTGTTAAATGAAACAAACCGTTCGGGAGCTCAGATTGTTATAGATCAAGCTCGAATGCTCGATTTGCCTTGTTGAGATTCGGTTAAGGTCGGGAATAGAGATTTTTACGTGCTTTTCGAAGCTTATAGCTTAATCAAACTCAGAAGGGGGTGATTGTTTACCAAATATTTCACTTCAAAAAATTTCAACTCAAAATCTAACTCAGCTTTAACTCAATCCTACTATCTTTAATATTATTCATATAATTAAATAATACAAGTCAATCATTCGTACACATCACATCAACTTTAATTCACTATTCATCCACTCACATAATTTTAACTGACCAATCATTTTCAATCATTTATCTTCTACTTTATATCAAATCAATTTTAATCATTTTATTTTAAATATTATTTTAATATATTTTTTAAATCCCACTAATAATTAACCACACTACTTTTTCAACTTTAACCATAGTTAACCAAAATGAAATATTTTAGATGAAATATTTTATAAACCATTAGCAGTAAACATATTTATGAAACGGTTTTTGGGCCCAACTTGTGATATCTGAAGTCCAAGCCCATACTCTAACAAGTTCAAAAGCTGCAGACAACAGCACCATAATAGCATCAAAATGCCCACCTTTTTTCAAACCTGCGGCGCTTCGAGCGGCTGGCGACTGCGTCCTGGGTTTGCAACTTGCACTACTTGTTTTTACAGGCTAGACAGATCAGTGGCTTACGACCCATTTTTAGGTAGATTTGGGCCATCCGGGGTAAACTCAGTTTAGATATATGTGATAAACCCAAATCGCACACAAAATCTAGAGCGATTGTGAACCGTGTTGTTCACGAACACAATTGAACTGCTCGTAAAAGTTCAAGCTCAGCTCGTTTGTTTACTTGCGCAAGTTGAACTCGAAGCTAATTGAAATGAATTACTCATGAAACGAGCAGCAAGCTTGTTTGTGAACAGCTCGTTCTCAATTTCGTATTAGCCTAACTTGCTTGGGACAAACATTTCATATTTACGAACAACTTGTTTAAGATTTTGGTTTTATGGACTTGTTTAGTAAACAAAAACTTGTTTAAGATTTTAGTTTCATGGAGTAGTTTAGTAAACGAACAAACCGGCTCACTTGAAAGGCTTTTCTTTTCTCCGTATCATTTTGCAACATTTAAATTTCTCCTATTCAAGGGCAGCATAATACTACAATCTAACTAAGAAAATGTATGCTTGATCACTTAAATATTCAAGGATTTTGACATTGTTCACCAAATGAAAAAGGCAATACAAGACTGTTGTTGCTCAGACACAAACTAAAACTGAAGTACAACCTCGAGTTTGATCAAGATGGAGTTAGATTGCTACTAATCAACATTCAACGGTACACAGGGTTTTTGAACGACTCGAAAACACAAATGTATCGCACTACCCAAAAACTATTATAGTCACTATATATCAAACTCTTTCCAACTCAATGTTGTGTTTCTCTAGTTGGTCTTTCAACTCCATTCTCCATCCTTGAATTAATCTCTCTTGCTTATTGATTAGCTCAGTCTTCACTTTCAACTCTTCTTCCATATTAGCAATCTCCTGAGAGAAAACCAAAAATCACTTATCAGCATCTAAATTTAAAAAAAAAAAATAGCTTAGAAGCATGTATCAGTGAGATTACCTTCCGTAGCGTTTCTGCTCTCGTGGGTTGTTCTTCTCGTTGCAACCCAATGAAAAAAAGCTGAAGCTTTTTGGCCGCCTCCATGAAATCTCTGGCGTGTCTCTCAACATCAACTAAAGCAATTAAGAAACTACGTTACTCAACCCAAATGTGAGGTACATTACATGATAATCAGAAAAGATATTACATGAATATGAGAGAGAGAAACTCAATAAATCAAGAAATAAAATGGATTTCCAGGCAGCATTCCCCAAATATAGTATAGCTTAAACAGATCAGGGAAGAGTCGTCCCATTCGGTGAAGACACTGGCCTTACCACGATTTTAGTGTTGGATCACACACACATTCTCACTCACACCCACATGGGTGTGTGTTGATCCAACAATAAAAAACCAGAAGAGGGAAAGGACCCCACTACCATTAGGCACGAATTTTCCAAGATTTAGACAACAAAACTGTTAATTTGCAGCAGCACATCCCACAGGCCACAACACAAAATTCAACATCTTCCTTAAGTTTACCACTCAAATAAATCGAAGAACAGCAAATCATCCATCATTATAACTGCTTTCGGAAACGAAGACGCTCGGCAGGTCAGCTAAATTCCATACAGTTAAATACAAAAATGCAATCAGCAGCTCATATTAATCAAAACCCACTCATGATTTTCTAAGACCAGGAGATTCCAGTTCATATTAAGTGGTCAGCTAAAATCAAAATCACAAATGTAT